AGATCTGTAAGGATAGAACAAGCCCAGATCTGTAATACCCTTAAGGTAGCGGAAAATGTCTTTAACACCAGTCCAATGTCTGCGTGTTGGTGCATTATTGTATCTTGCCAAAAGATTAATAGCGAATGAGATGTCGGGTCTAGTGCAATGAGCTAAGTACAATAAAGCGCCTATCACACTTAGATAAGGAACTTTAGTCTCAAAAATCTCTTGATCATCCTCATTCGGACGGAAGGGATCCTTATTTTGCATCTAGTGATCGAACGACCATAAGAGTACTCAAAGGCTTTATTGTATCCTTGTTAAAGCAGCAAAACACATTCTAGGTGCAGTTCGATTAATGTACTAAGATTCCATCTGAACGATGCTCTATCTTGGGATCGAGACAGTATCGAGTATTTCCTAGATCTTTCATCTCAAATTTAAACTTCAAGTGCACAGCAGTTCTCGCAAGCTCTTCAGGAGTTCCAATGAGGTTCATGTCATCGATATAAATTGCAACAATCACAAAACTGGAATGTGACTACTTAATGAACATGCAATGGCATAGTTCGCTGTTCAGATATCCCTAACTAGTCAAATACTCACTCAAGCGGTTATACCATTCTTTCAGATTGCTTCAAACCGTAAAGTGAACGCTTCAGTCGAATTGAGAGTGTGTTTCAAGGTTTGGAAATATTTGATCCAATCAATGTAAGTCCTTTGGGAACTTTCATATAGATTTTCGTATCAAGATCCCTATAAAGATATGCAGTTGCTATGTCCATCAGCTGCATACTCAGTTTTTCAGAAACTACCAAACTGTTAAGGTAGTGAAACGTAATCACATCCATAACGGGTGAATAAATTTCATCATAGTCAATCCTAAAGCATTGTGAGAAGCCTCGTGCAATAAGATGAGCTTTGTAATGTACAATTTCGTTCTTCTCATTACGCTTCCGAACGAAAACCGACTTATAGCCAACGGGCTTCACATGTAGAGGAGTAGGAGCCACAGGTCCAAACACCTTACGTTTCACAAGAAAATCGAGTTCGACTTGGATTGCTTGTTTCTAGTTTGACCAATTGGTTCTACATCAACATTCATTAACAGAACAAGGTTCAATGTCATCGCTCAACATGATCAGCCAAAGTGGCATCTCGGGTTTCTAGGAGTGAAGTCCGTCTTACATTTGGTACATCCATCTTTGCAGGAACATTCGCAGCTGGAATATGTGATCTTGTCACTCGTGCTAGATCGGTGAAAGTATTTGGCTTGCTTTGAGCTATGCTCTGAAGATCTAATATGCGCTGCACTTCAATCTCAGACTGAGCGATGCGGGGATCTAAATGAGACAAAGTGGGAGTCGTCCACGATAATTCGTGTCGTTCATCAAGAATGTTGACGTTCTTATCTCCTTCTAACGACAGGAAGATTGTCTTATAGAAGTGAGAATCCGTGAAACGAACGGTAAACAGATTACCTGTCAAAGGTTCTAAGTAACAAATAATCAAAGGAGATTCATATCCGATATAGATTCCTATCTTTTGATGAGGCCCCATTTTGTACGTAAGGGCAGCGAAATCGGCACATAAATCACAAAACCAAAAATGCGTAGATGTGATATGTTGGTTTCGTATCTGGTAACCAACTAAAAGACGCTATATGGTTGGGTCGTAACAGGCCTCAGGCAGACCAACATGGTTGTGTGCAATTTTGCATGGCCTCAAGCAGCGATTGGGGGCTTAGTACGTATGACCAACGATTTGGGAGCTTGGTACGTATGACCAATGATCGAGCAATCATTTGTAAGCGCTTAATGAATACCTCTGCCAGGTCATTTTGGGTGTGAACATAGGGTACATGATGTTCAATTTAACCCTAATCGACATGCAATAGTCATCAAAAGTTTTAGATGTGAATTCTCTAGCATTATCCAATCAAATAGATTTGATCGGATAATTAGGGTGGTAAGCCCTAACTTTGTTAATTTGAGCCACCATTGTGGAGAAGGCAACGTTCTTTGTGGACAACAAGCACACGTGTGACCAACTGTGGAAGCGTCAACCAATACAATAAAATACCTAAATGGTCCGTAGGGAGGGTGAATCAGTCCATAAATGTCCCTCTAAATCCTTTATAGAAAAATAGAAGGGTTCGAATGAATCTTATCATAAGAAGGCTTAATAATAAGCTTTCCCATAGAATAGGTTTGACATGCAATTCCTTGTATCGAACCTAAACTTCGGGTTAGTGGATGCCCATGTGATGATTTGAGGATACAGCGTATCGTGTTTGTCCAAGGTGTCCCAAACGATGATGCTAAAATGTAATTTCGTGCGTGGTCCCTGAGGTAGGGCCGACCACATAGTGGCTTTCTATAGGGTGTATGGTTGTAGTGTACATACCACTCGTGATACGCTCCATCTTATTTAGAATACGCTTCTGGCCATATTCATAGGAAGTGATGCATATAAATTTAACTTTATTTTCTCCATATGTCTCAGCGTGGTAGTTATTGTCTAATTATTGTCTCAAATATCTTTAATGCTCAAGAACGTTCTTCTAGAACGTGGAGAATAAAGTGCCTCTTGAATTGTCAAAATAATGTCATTGAACAACATTATATGAGCCTTTCCGTATCCTTCGATCAGGTTGGATGCCTGAGAGGGTTGTCAAAGGCGCATTGTTAGGTACGAAGTTAGTGAAATAGATGCGTTCACGTAAAACGGTGTGTGTGGTTGCACTATCAGCCAAATAACTAACTTTCCTACTAGTCTTACCTAGAAATAAAATTAATTGAACCGGTCACATGCATAAAAGGTTGAAAACTTAAAACCATTCAATTAATTTTTTTCGAGAAAAGTTTATGAACTTCAGGTTCATAGTACGTGCAAGCAAACGCATGTATATAAAAAAGTATGTAACAAATACATACAAGTATATCTTCGGGCCCTATAATTATAATTGAATTAATTATTTGGACTTCAAGCCAAAATTAAAGTTTGGACGAAAAAATTAAAACCTAGAAGACCTAAAAAAATAGGCAATATAATTAGTGGTCCAAAGCATTGGACCAAAGCCCTAATGGGCTTTTAAAAATCGTGAAAAAGAATGGGATCCAAGCCCAAAAATGGGCTGGAATGTCACGGGCCAAGAGTCAGGAAGCAGGCCCAAAACTGGGTAAGATTCAGTAGCCCAACGGAGGCAATGATCATGTGCTTCGCAGGCATGGATGCACCAATGTGTGGTTGTGATCCGGTGTGGCACGTTGCAGTGGAGCGCCACACAACCTTACTGGGTTGTGATCATGTGCTTCACAGTGCACTGAGACACCAGAGCCCCACGGGCAATGTCATGCAGACCGAGCCAAAGCAATGGGCCCCTGCAGGTGAACCCAAAGGATAGAAATTTATTTATTTATTTTTTTCTTCAGGCCATGAAGAAACCAAAGCCCAACTAGGCTCGGGTTTCAACCCAAGAAGACCCTATCTTTGTTGGGTATGGTCACCTGAGAAGAAGGCCGGCGTTGCCATTTTAGGCAGCTATGTTTTGGTTAAAGAACTCGGAGCGAGTCATGAGTTTGACGTGGAACCTCAATGGTGTGACGAAGAAAGAAAAATCTTGATGTCCATAAACCAAAAATGCTCAAATTCGAATTTGGGTTTTCGAAATTCATGGAGATTCTTAAGAATCTTGGCCAAAATCATGGTCGGTGACGACTGCAGGTCATCGGAGATAGCTACCATGATGGCCGGGCATAGCTGCAGCCCATGCCTGTGACGTTGTGAAACGCGTTAGGATTTTGGACACGTGGACGACGTCCAAACGACATCGTGGGTTTGGGTTCTAAAGGCTTCGAGCTCTTGGCTCTGGCTTAAGCTTGGGGGTCTGCGGTGCGGCTCGAGGCTGCTGTACAATGTGGGTTCTAAAACCCTAATTTTCAATTTTTTTTTGTTCAATTTAATTCAATTGAATTCATGCATAATCAAACTATACAATTAATGCATGGGCAGATATTCAATATGATTCTGAGCAATATCAATTCACATAATTCAACAATTATGAATATAATGCATATACAATTCATGTAGAATCTAAAATTCGAAAAACATAAAGTTGGGTCATGCATTATGATGAATGTTCAGGCTATCAGGGTTGTAAAAATATCAAGATAAAAACCGTTGTTTTGGAAGAACCTGATTACATGATGATATTGATGAACTGGTTTGATGCATAAAATTTTTCTTCAATTTCGGCTTTTCATCTCCAAAGCTTGAATCATGTTTAATACAAACATTTTAAATTGAATCAATAAAAGCATATGAATCAATAAAATCAAAATTTAATCAATTAAAAATAATTGAAACGTAATACTCCCTGATTGAAGATGAATAATTTTCACGTTAGATTCCTAAACGCAGTGGTAGGAGCGTGTTGTTAACGTGTTGTGACTTATTTTATCTGACAGGGAGAGAGAGGGTCGGCGACACAGAGAGAGAATAGAGAGAGATGCGTTCGTAGGGTTGTGTAGATGATGTGTTATTCCCCTAGGCAGAGCCTTTATTTATAGTAATAAGGGAGGGAAGAATCCTTCTCCTTCAAGAAATACAAATTATAATAGGGAAGAATAATTATTATCAAATCTAATATAGAATTTATATAATCACACTTAAATACAAAGTTTATAATAAAAAATATTTTTTGAACTAAATTTCAAAAATTATATCTTAAAAAAAGTATTTCAAATGTTTTTAATATTCAAACATTTTCACCGATGCACTTTTAGTCGTTTAAAAAAGTGTTTATCCGTGAAAAAAGAAACAAACTGATAACTTTCGAGCAAGCTAATCGGTGAAAAAGATTCAACAAATTATGGGCGGAGGAAGGGAAAAACAAAAATAGAAAAGAGAAAAAGAAAAGAAAAGGAAGATGCCAAGTGGATAAAGATTGGTGGCGGCTAAGGGGGCTGGATGTCGTGGGAGGTTCGGATGAAGGTGGGGAGTCTGTCTGCGTCTGGGCAGTAAAGGAAGGAAGCGAGAGAGACATTGAGAGAGAGAGAGAGAGAGAGAGAGAGAGAGTAGTGAAGAAGAAGAAGACGAGACTGGAATTTGGAGGAGCCGGGAGATTGAGAGTCCATGAAATGAAATCGGCGCCATGGTCGTCCTTAGTGTTTCAGTTGCCACGCCCACGAGGTTGCTATGGCTGTTCTTGTGCCCAGTTTCAGTTTGTTGTAATGGCCAAGGGCAAGAACAAGTCTCAACAATCATCGCCTCCTCCTCCTTTGGTATTCTCTCTCTTTCTGCATGTTTACTTGTTTCTTTGTCAAATTTTCAAAAAATGTTGTGTAATCAATCTGGCCTGGCGAATAATAAGACTGATTTATTAGTTTGAAATTGAATATTGAATAATGATTAATAGGGGTCGGAGGCGCCAACTCCTCCGAGGATTACATCAAATGTGAGGCAGAATTTACAGCTTTTAAAGTTATGGAAGGTTTGCCTACTACTATTTCTCCATTCTCATTCATCATTCATTTGGTAAATGTAAATAAACTACTTGTACTTGAACTGTAGGATTACCAAAACAGAAAGTCTAGCACACCTAAGCACTCTACTAGATACCGCCGAAAGAAGGTCCCCAAGGAACAGCTTTCCCAAGACCCTGACCTCTACCGCGATCCAACCACCACCCTCTATTAGTACTACTACCACCACCACCACCCACTCTCTGCTTTCTTCTCTCATTCATCCCTCCTCTCCCCCTTTAAGCTTCTTCCAAAGCTCACCTATATTTTGTTTTTCCTTTTCACAGTACTAACCAGGGTTGGGACATTGCTGTGCCCGTCTTGCTTGTTGATGGATATAACGTCTGCGGTTACTGGGCCAAGCTCAAGAAGCATTGTATAAATGGGAGACTTGATGTTGCTCGCCAAAAGTTAATCGATGAACTTGTTACTTTCAGCATGCTAAGAGGTTTGCACTTTCTTTCTACCTATTCAATAAACATTCTCTGGATTTAGGAAGCTTGAGCCATTTTTCATAGACTGCTGTCAAATGTTTTCTTTAAGAAATAAGGGTGGAAACAAGAACACAAAGGCCGAGCTGTGTGTTGTTTTGTCTTTAGTAACTACATGGTGTTTGTGAGTACGTTTTGTAATTGAGTGAGAAAAAAGCTAGAGCTTTGTTGGGTTGCTCGGTACTGGCAGATTTTCAGAACATCTGGGTGGAGGTTTGTAGAAGAGTTTTCAGGACCGAGAAGATGAAATCTGGGACCAAGTTAGATACTAGCGTCTCTTTGGGCATCAGTTTCAGCTGAGCTTGGGGAAATCTCTCTCTTTTTTAATGATGGACGTATTAGCTACCGTGATATGAGTTTAAATTTTGAGTTGTGGTTTTTCTAACTTAGCTTCATTGAGAGGTATGGTTGTTTACTTTAGGTTCTATATTCAGGGTTTAGCTGTAATAGCAAGTTTTTCTGTAGTATCATATTTGTAAGAAATATTGTATGGTAACGTTCTGCAGGGCTCATGTTATGTGTGCCATGTTAAATTATTTCAATGAAATGGCTTTCCTGAAGTCCTTTGTCTTTTGTATATCTGAATTTCCATAACTCACCTATTTATTTCTGGAACATTTACAGAGGTGAAAGTGGTAGCTGTATTCGATGCCATGATGTCTGGACTCCCCACACACAAGGAAGATTTTAATGGGTACAGTTTATGAACTTGGATATTGACATATTGTGATTTACTACCTAATGAAAAGCTTTTCTTTTTGCTTCAACTGTCTTTTTGTCTTTTGGTTTTTTAGGGTAAAGATGGCAGAGTAAAACTGCACCTTATCTTACTTCCCTTTTCGTGTGCATGTTCCTCATTTTGCCCACGTTCAGTATACTTGTGTTATAACTTTAAAATTTCGTTGATAAGCCTGGTGTGGACTGGCTTTAATCTTCAACATCTAGACCTCAAATGACTTGAATGCTCTGGCGTCAAGCATATGCAATGCACGCAATCTAGTGACATCGGTCACATCTTGAACATCTCAAATCTTGACTAAACCTGATGCGTGACATTTAGGATAAATACAATTAAGAGTTTTAACATGGTTTTGCAGCTGAGTTTTCAATGCGAGTTCAAAGAATCACTACTTGAAATGGTTTTCTTAAGGGAAGAATTTCCTTTTTGTTTTCTTTGTATCCAACAAATCATTTTTGGTGGCATTGTTCTTACAAACAAGGTCAGATTATATCGAAGATCGAAAATAATATTTTTTTTTTCCAAATAACTCTTGTGCCTCTTTAACAGTTTTCATTTTATGGGCCCCGTCTAAGGACATTTTGAATCAGATAACAGGAGATTCAGGAACACATTCACAAACCAAATTCACAAACATTTTTTTATGCTGCCTCTCTAGACACCTTAAGAGATTAACCTTTTTTTTGGTGAACTTCTGCTGCTAGGTGAAATAGCTAACCTTTTTTTTTAGTGAACTTTTGCTGATAGGTGAAATAGGTTTCTGTTTTCTGATTCTCCAGAGACGTTTCCCTCTTATATTTATTATTTGGTGGGAGAATAGGTGTATTAGTTACTATATTGTTCTACAATTGGTCAAGGTCATACTAAATGGGAAGTTTGACTTCTTGAAACATCGTTGTTTAACTTAAACAGAAATGTTACACTCAGCAGTTAGTTTATATATTTGTTTAAGTCCCCTTGGCACTATATAAATTCATATAAGGAATTGTGATCCTAAGAATTCATAATGTTGCAGTGTTGATGTAGTATACTCAGGTGAAACCTGTGCTGATGCGTGGATTGAGAAAGAGGTGAGGAATAACTTGAAGCTGAAACCAACTTTAGAATTTTTCTCACTTTGAAAGTAAAAGAAAAATGTTTGTTTGCTTAACTGATTTGAGTTTGCGGTTCCTATTTTGTGGGTAACACAAAATCCTATGCTTGCTTATTTTTCATTTGAACTAGGGCACCCATCTTTTATTAAGAGATAAAATATGTGATGCAGGACAGAGAGATGTTGTAGGCTCGAATATCTAAGCTAATAAGGATCTTTCAGCTTGGTATATAACTATATATTAGAGTTACTTGACTAGCTAGGTATTTTTTTGCAAGTTTTTTATGGCAGTAAGGATTGCGGTGAAAGATTTAAAGTGAAGGGTCAAAGGTCAGAAATTAATGTTTTAAAAGGCTCGCCTCATGGCGCGCCTAGGCACCCTCTGAGGCTGGGCGTGAGGGTTGCCGCCTCTGTTTTGAGGGAGTGGGCGGAAGGCGTCGCTGGAGCCACCTAGGTGGTGGAGGCGCGCCTCAGGGCGTCCAGGCTTCTGTTTGGCTGCTTTTTTAATATTATGTTATATTATATTTTTATTTTTTTTTAAACTCCCAAACCCAAATTTTAGGTAGCGTTTTAACTGCCTCACACCTCTTCCTTGCACTATCGTCTGTTAGCCTTTTTTTTTTTTTTTTTTTTTCCTTTCTGATTTTTATGTTTTTATATAATGGATGTGTGTGCTATCTGCATGCATTGTTATATGTGTGCTCGTTGTGCTTTTTATCCTCTATTTTATATATATACATATATATAATATATATATATATATAAAATATAATATATGTATATATATGTGTGTGCTCAGGGTGATTATTGACTAATTATCTTCGTTTTTTAAATATAATATATGTGTATGCTTAGTGTATATATTAAAAAATTTAGGTCCTGTGAGGCTTCACCTCACGCCTCACGCCTAGGCCAGGCTATCCCTTGGACGCCTCGCCCACGCCTCACGCTTTAATTACAAAGAAAAAAAGGAACCCAGGTCAAGGGTGCTGTCTTTGGCTCCCCAAACAACAGTAATTTTGTTGTTTTAGAAGCAAGAAGTCACTGTTAAGGGAAATGTGGCTAGGTTTTGGTGTTTAGGGAAATCGGGCCTTAGTATATTAAACACATCTATTACACAAAGCTTGGTGGCAAAAGTAGAATGGAAAAGAAAGACTGCTCAACGACTCCATCATTTTCTTTTGTTTGATTAATACATGAGAGTGCTAAAGAAAACAAAATGTGTGAAATATTTTATATTGCGACGATTGTTTTCAACATCGCTATGAGCAGTTATTAGAAATTTAGCTTAATGATTGATTATTGGCTTATAATAGCTTAAAATTAGGTCTAGTTTGTAGAGTTGGTTACCATAGGAACTTATGTCCTAGGGTTTTATGTAAATTGTGTTTAATCATTTCATTTCAGTATGCAACTCGATGTTCTTCATCTCCCTTTCTAAAGTTCTTTTTCAAAATGGTATGCAAGAATCTGCTCCTGGGACCTAAACCAACTGTTATGGGGTATATTATAGATGATTATACTGGCTGCAAGCTTAGATGGTTGGTTAACAGTCTGTGGAGTTGATTACGAAATTCAGGTCTAATTTCTGGAGTTGGTACAAGTGCAATTTTATGTAAATTTTTGTGCTCCTTTCATTTGAATATGAAGTATAATGATTTTCTTCCCCCTTTCTAAAGTTTCTTCTCAACAACCAGGAATAACCAGAGTGCCCTATATTTGATTAAATCCCTCCTTAATGGAGGACAACTATCATATGCAAAGTATTTATCTAGGAAAGAAAGAGGTTTTTTTCTAATGTAGTTGGCAGTATAATTCTCAAGTCAATGGCATTAAGAGGAGAGTGTCTAGATCTTCACTTGGGAGACTATTAAAGGAGCTTTGGAAATCATTCTAGTCATCCGCAACTAAGAATCTAGAGTCACGAATGGGGGACTGGGTTCTTCTTAGGAATTTGAGAAAGGTGTACGAAGAGTGCGGAATTTGGTACAAAGTTTGAGTCAGGGATTAACTCTTGAGTAGATTACTCATAGTTGTTTCACTCTTTCTTACAGTGAAGTCAGATACTCTTCTTGGACGTAGGCAGGATTTTCCCAAGTCACATAAAATTTTGTGCATTTTTGTGATTCTTTATGTTGGCTCTATTATTTTTATCATGACTAGGGTCATCATAAACATTTTTGTTATGGTAAGACTATCACAAAAATATAATATTTGTTGAAGGGCTTGATGGAGAAATATAAGGGCATCAGTTTTAAGGAGAAGGTTTTTCTTATATATAAAAGGGTTATTACCATGTATAGCATCAGTGACAGGAACACGACCTTATGGGTGAAGTAGGGAAATACTCGGTTGTTGTGGCCCCAATTTCTCTTCTAATCTAAGGGTCTCATATTTCTTAAATATAACTTGGTAATCTGTAAACAAAGAGTTACATCATATATGCAGTACAAAATATTGAAATAATTTGATCTCCTGAATATCACTTCTAGTACACCACTGCATTTGTGCACTGCTTTAGGCCTGGAATGGGTTAAAAATACCGTTTTGAATTGCACTCCAGAATTTGTTTATCTGTAGTTTCTTTTCTTTTCTTTACTCTTTTTCTTGATCTGTAACTTGTGATGTTTCTGTACGCAACAGGTTGCAGCCTTAAGGGAGGATGGGTGCCCTAAAGTTTGGGTTGTGACCTCTGATCATATTCAGCAGCATGCAGCACATGGAGCAGTATGTGTTCTCATAACCCTGCATAAATGAGATTTGTTTGTTGACCTGTTTAGTAAATTTGGACTTTTATCTTTGTTAAACTATTATAGTAATCAAGGAGGTCGGATTTTAGTGCAGAAAATATAAGCATATAATATATTTGTATTTCCCTGTAAGTCCCGTTCTGGCTGCCACAAGTTTTTCTGCTTGTGCAGCATACCAATTGCAGTCAGAATCTTGAGTTTCTGGCTGGGTCTAAGTTGTGATTTACTAATCTTTTTTTAAGTATACCCCTTCATAATTCCATTATTTGCATGTTTTCTTATAAGGAAAACTAATGAGAAGGGCTTGAAAACTTTGAGTTTTAATGATAAGGACAAAATAAAGGGTAAAGTGAATAGTACCATGATTGACTTTTTAGTGTAAAAATGTGGTTTTTCGTTAAAGTAAACGGTACCATGGGCTTGTTGTTAAAACTCCCTTTCTTATACTAGTAATATTGTTCCATGATTGAGTACAGCACTCTTGCAACCTCATTCTTTTTATTTTTATCTTTAAAAAAAAAAAAGAGAATTATTATTTCATGCCTCGAAGCGTATTATCTGATCTTTCTCCTATGTTTCTTGGTCACTCATAAGAACTAGTCGTGAATAAGAATCTATGTGATCATTTATACAGCCTTATCTTTTATTATCTTTTAGGGGGCTTTCATTTGGAGTTGCAAGGCATTGATTTCAGAGGTGATTATTTTTAATCCAATGATGTCCAATAGTCTTCTAAACTATTGTCCTAATATCCACATGTTAGTAACTGTTAGATTTATTCAGAACACGCCTTAGTGTGTAATTGTCAGAGTGGAATGATTTATGAGTTTCTTTAGATTTGTAATCCCTATTATCATGTTATGCATTTGTACTGTCTCATTGTTTTATGTGTTTGGTTGTTCAACTTCAATTCATGTGTATAGTCAAAATATATCATCTGCAAGACTGCAACACATGTGAGCCATTTTTTAAGGGTTTTTTCCCACTTAAACACCCCTTTAGATGACTTAGGGTAGGAATTCAGTTGACTAAAGCTATTGGGACATGTCTTCTGTATGCTTGAATAACAAAATTTTTACTCCAAGTTGTCTAGGGGTCTGAGAGTGGGGAGAACATACTTGAAACAGTGCTCAAATGCGCAATACACGATGAGTTTTTGATGGAATTTTTAGCAGAAATTGATAGAGGTGGTGCATCTACACTAGAATTTGGGTTGGTAAACGGGCAAGATTTTTTTGTTTGGGTAGTATTTGCGCACACCCCTAATACTCTAAGTGGCGTTTGTGCAAATTTTCCTTGAAAAATAAATGCGATACACAAAATATTTTTAAATCTTAATGTTGTATGAACTATGTTAAACGGGATGAGAGAATGCGTAGGGCTAGAGTGCCTATAATATGACGTATGAATCTCCCTATTGATGTACCACTGTTTGTGTTGATGCAAATTCATTTCTTTTGTATAGATTAAAGCATCACAGAAGGAGTTTGAAAGGATGCTTGAAGAACATAGGTTAGTTGTATTTCATATGAAACTTGGCATGTTAATGAAACTTTTCTGAGGATTTGAGGAAGATACTGAGTGTCATGTTCTTGCCTTTTTTCTTTTTTCTTTTTTTTTTTTTTTTTTTTTTTTTTTTTTTTTTTTTTTAACGGAATGTCCTACTGTTTGCTGGTCAGCAAAGAGAAAATGTCAGTTTGATTCCAATGATAAATGATTTCTCATTTACCTTAAAACAGGTCTACATCTTTTCAAGGGAGGTTATTAAAACACAATCTTGATTCGGAAGTTGTTGACGCTCTGAAGGATCTTAGGAGGAAGTTGTCTGAAACTGAATCGAAGTAGTTGATCAGGTTTTGTTTCAGTTCAAGCTCTCAAGTATCTACGAAAGATGTTACGTGATGCTTATGCTGTACACAATTATAGGATGATGTGCCGGTGTTATACATCAAATTGTGGTACAAATCAAGAGTGTACCTGGCCATAGAAGATTTATGTAGGTTATGCCAGTGGAAGGGGAGGGCTTCCGTATGTTTTCAATTAGTACCATGTAATATAAAGACTCGAACAAAAAAATGAGTTCTCTCATATCAATGAAATAATAATAAGTTCAAGTTAAAGAAAACAAAAGGTATGTTTAAATTGGGTGACGTGTGAGTGATGTGTGCAAAATATATGTGATATGTTTCATTGTATCTTACCAGCCAGTTAAAGAGAATTTCGAAAAGAAAAGATGACAAAAATGTCTCCAACACTAAATAATTGACAAGAATTTGCAAAGAAAGAGAACTTGATGAAAAGAATTGCCTGTACTTCTCAGGTCGATGAATCAATCAATACACACTAAACCATAAACAAAAGCCGCTTCCAATGAAAACCTATAGAGTAAAAGAATCAATGGAGGAGTTACAACTGAAACAAATGGGACGAACTTTGGCCACATGCACAAGAGTCACTCATGCAAACAATAATCACATTAACCAGAGGCAATGACAATTACACATTAATATCGGGGCGCTTTGATCTGGCTGCACTGCTGATTTCTGAGTAACTAGTATGGGAAAACCTAGGAAGGCTGTAGTTTTCAGAAACCAAAACTGGTTGCTGAGGATAAAGCGTGGGAGGTGGCGTCAGATTGCGTTGCGCTGGAAGAGGAGGGAGCATGTTGTACTTGTAAGGGTCAGCACGCAAGCTGCCAACAGAGAACACTTGGTAAGAAACATCACTCGTCCAGACAGTAAAAAAAAAGTCTATTGTGAGGAGAGATGATGGTGAACAAACCATTACAGATTAGTATTCAAAACATCATGACTTGTGTTGGCATATAACTGGCATGCCCATTGATATAGATTAGTATTCTAAACAGTTATAGATGAAATGATGAAGAAACAATTATAGATTAGGACCCACAACAATTACGCATCTGAACACCAAAACGCAATCAATTGCCGTTTACATTTTATAACATGAAAACCATCTCACTTGTGATCCAGCATACCCGCCATAAATTATTTAACGATGATGATAAATGAAGCAAGTTGGGGAGAACAATGTAACTGGCTGAACCTACCTGGCATTCCTGTAGGAATGATCCTCATCACTCCAATTTTCATCTAGAGTCTGTGCAGGTCTTTGTACTGGTGAACTAGACCATGGATTCTGTGCAGGTAAATCATCGGAAAAATATCTTCTTCTGATCAACTGAAACAACCGAGACAAAAGTTGGATATCTTTCGTAAGGCAAAAAGAAAAAGCTAACAGCAAGGGCATGAATACAGACCGTACGGAAAAATTTCATCACAGCTTCCTTGTCATATCTTGCTTCTTTGGCAGCCTGTCGATGTTTAATAGACCAACATATATTAGAATGTAGAATAACTACAGCTATAATAAATGGATTAACAACCATTTGTAATTCTACATTACCAACGATTCCTCAACGTGACAATCATATTCCCCATCAAGAATTAAACCTTTTCTTTTGTGGACAGAAAACAATGACTTCGTTGATTCATGAGAACAGATCCACAATCTAGTCAAAATAATAAGTTTGGCCTATTACATCCAAGAATTGACCTTCTCTCTAACCCCAGAGCACCAAACTTAAGACCAATTTATAGATGCGTTTTATAAATGAAAACATTTTCTGCGGGATTTTGGAACCAATTTAGAATAACATAAGCAACCTCATTCCCAAGTAAATGACATGTAAATAGGACAGAAAAGAATAAGAATCCTATTCTGACCTTGCAACCCAAGCATCTTTGTGGAAAAACCTATTCAAGTACAAGTACCTACCCATTTCCATATGTTATCTCCTCTTCTCTTATTAAAAAAAGAACAAAAGGTGATCTAATAACATCTACCAAATGTCATGGATACAACTACCAACCAAAAATGAATTCTTACACGTGCAGAAAATGAATTCTTAGTGATCATAGACATCTACCAAATGTCATGGCTGAACCTACGGTGTTCTCTCTTATATGGTGAATTTGGACCACTTATGCAGGAAAGTATCAACTTGAGCAATGACCCATATTCACAATCTATAAACATAAGCAGCCAGCCTAAAAGATAACATTTTCCCCATATATATACACGAATAAAAGAAAAAAAAGCAAACTAAGTAGCAGGCAGAAGCCTTGAAGAGTAAAAAAATAAGGCCATCCCAAGCACAATAAGACTTGGGGTGTGCTATCCACACAACCCCTTGTACTTCTCACACACCCCTTGTTAATTTATGTCATTTGATCTTCTTTAATTCACTCAATCCAACAGCTACAAAATAAAAGAGTGTAGGAAGTAAAAAAGGAGGAGAGGGGGGGGGGGGGGGGGGGGGGGGGTGGTGGGGGGTGGTGTGAATATCACAGCCCTTAATATTTAAGACATAAGTACCTTACACTTTTTTGTAGCGATAAAGGCAATTCATACATGTATTCTATGTGTTATATTAAGATAATCCCTATGTTACATGATCACGTTTACTATTTAAGAGTGGTTAAATGTATTTCACATGTATTTGCAGCAGTGATCCTTGCTTCAAAATTTCCTGCGACCCTCAAAGTCGAAGGCTGGGCTGGTTCTGTGTTGTGCTACGATGGCATCTTCAGGAAGAAGACGACTGCAAAGAAGAAAATAAGAGTTTTTTTCTAAATGAGTTGGCCCAGTCCGACGTCGTTTTGGCCAAGTCTTTTTATTTTTTTTTTAAGTGACTTGGCCCAAAATGACATCATTTTGGGCAAGTCACCTTTTTTTTTTAAACCCCCCGGCAAGTCCCCCCTCTTGTTCTCCATCCTAATACCCAATTTTCCCATTGATAATTCACCCAATTCCCCAATCCTCAGTTCGCCAACTCCTCAAACCCTAAATTCTCCCCAATCCCATATTTCAATTTACCCCAATCTCATACCTCAATTTGTTTCAAAATTCAAGTAAGTTTTTTAGTATTCTGTTTACAATTTTGTTACTGGTCGGTTTGATTGTTTGTTTGATTGTTGATTAATTTGTTTTAAAAAGGATTATATTATATACATATAATTATAATACAATATATATATCAAAAACTTTAGGTCCCATGAAGCTTCGCCTCACACCTCAAGGCTTTCACCTAGGCGGGGCTATCCAAGAAACGTCTCGCCTATGCCTTCGCCTTTTAAAGCATTGATTTTCAGTGATTCGAATACACATGGTGCTATAAAAAGAAATTTAAATGGCTACTTAAAGATTTTAACATTAATAGTGAAAGGAATCGGAGTTCTTGTGATTTCCCGCTTATGTGTGTAGAATCAGGAATGAGTTGGAATCTCTTCTCTTTTATTTTAATTTTGTACCATAGAACTTAATTAAAGTTCTGTCTACTTAGGATACAACAGCTATTTGAAATACATGTAAAGTTTTCACTTTCTAGGTCATTTGGATTATTAAAGCAAAACCTCATACTAAAAATCTAATGCCATGTACCTAATGAGACAGCAAAACAAGGTCAGTTGCCTACAAACATGTCTCATATGACCACAACCATATTCATTGAATGCTAAGTTACCATATACTAATTTCATTTTCATTATTATAATGTGTACAGCGTCAATCAATAAACAAGGAAAAAAAAGGTAGGAAGGAAAGCAAGAACAAAAAACCTGCTGCTTACCGCAATAAGGCCTCCAGCACCAGGGAAACTCTCAGTCAATGGAAGTTCCTCACTGGATGGAAGCAAACCTTGTTTCTCAACCCACTGCCGAGCTACGTCAACAAGATTTCCACTGCTCCCCCTTGTACCCTCTTTTGCAGCAATATCAGCTTTGTTACCTATAACAATATACGGGACAGGAAGGCCACCAGGACCTCCAGATCCTAGAGGAGCTGAAAATGTCCCAGTTGCAGCAATCTCAGCTGCCCACTTCTGTAAGCCAGTTTTGGTCCTTCTCTGGGAGAGATCATGAACAAAGATTACACCTGCATATGAATGTCAAGTGTATCATGAGCTGAAAAATCTAAATCTGGCTGCAACATGCTGGTTCCTTTGCTTTTGATAGGAAATAAATTGCGGACGATCATATTGATCGTAACTGTATACCACCATGACTTACCACTAAAACTTTGTCAACACCTCTCATGCTTGTTTCATCATTATGCATATAGAACATGGATGCAACAAGAGATGCAAAAATTTTGTCACGGCCTTTTGCTTTTACTTATATTAACATGCATAGTATTTGCCAGGAGACTAAAATGTTTACAGAGGGAGAGAGGTCTCAAACTTGCCATTAATTTGGGAATAAAAAAGAGACCGGCATTCTTTGTATCTATCATGTCCAGACACATCCCAGAGTTCAATAAAGAAATCTCTCTCGGAATCACCTTTAATGCTGCTTGACGAGGTACCCAAGTTTCCGTACGTAGTATGCTGGACAGAAAAATGGTAAACAATTATTTAGACTTCAAGTTCAGCAATAGTTCTCAATATCCCATCAGAATCAACTTAACGGTAAATTCTCACCCTTACACCTACTGTACACCCTACTGTCTGAGGAGGACGTGTGATGGAAGAACCCTTGACAATCAGATGAACAAGAGAAGTTTTTCCAACACCTGCCAATATGCCACCAATATAAAGACAAAGTTTGATACTTATAACTGAAATTATGAGATGTAATGTACAACCAAGCAGAGATTGGATAAAGAAAATCCTCCTTGATGCATTATAAAATTGTTTTTTTACACACATTAGTGGGTGTTAACTTACAGGTTTATAGGGCTCCAATTCTGCCTACCAGTTACTAATTTGAGCAATGCATTATCATAAACATTTAAGCAATTACTCTTCTAGTAAGCTAAGATGATATAAATTTAACAATAAAGCACATAAAAATTTGAGCTTGATAAAACTACTTGAAACTAACGCATACAGAACCACTCCATGATTGAAACATTCCATGCTGGTTCAAGGTCCAAAGACGTAATATGAACTTTCTCAATCCACAAATGAAATGTGTAGATATCTATTATTCAAGTTCCTAAAATTCCATGTCGAGCGACTCTCGGGGGTCACTTAAGCCTCCGAGTTCAATTGCTTCGGCTAACTTAGCACAGTTGTACTTGTTAATCCAATTATTCTTTCATCGA